TTACCAGGTAGCAAGCATTGGGTCATATATGGGTGTACTTCAAAAAGTTCATAGAAAGAAAGATTTGTATTATCTTTCAATCTCATATTTTCAGAACTTTCTGTATCCCCTCATATACAGTCATGTATCACTTAACAACAAAGATATGTTGTGATATGCATTGTTAGACCATTTCATTGTGTGAACATCATAGAGTGTACTTACACAAACCTGTATGGTATAGCCTATTGCTCCTAAGCTACAAAACCTGTGCAGCATGCTATTACTACGGTAGGCAACTGTGACACAATGGCTACAATGTCATTAGGCAACAGGAATTTTTCACCTCCGTTATAATCTTATGGGACCACCATCATCTATGCGGCCCATCATTGACTGAAGCATTCGTTATTTGGCACATGACTACCGTAATGGCTACTTATTTGATGTTTGCAAATATTGTAAAAAAAAAAAAAAAAAAATTAAGTGCAAACTGGCTCTTAAGCCTGCATGCACTTAGGATTACTTGATGGGGAGCTTTTAAGAAATGCAGAACTCGGGCCTCATTTTAAACTAATTAAACCCAAACGACTAGGTATGGGACCTCCTTAAATCTTAAGTGCCTGTGTTTGAGAAGCACTGCTAATATGTTTCTTTTTTGCACTGTTAATGATTTTCTTCTATATTTGTTTTAGTTCTTTGTGATGCTTTAATTGTTTCCTTTTGTGGTTGTTTACTTTTCCAGTGTGTGTAAAGTGAGCACAACTTGGAAGAAGATTCTAGAAGATGATAAGGGAGCATTCCAGTTGTACAGTAAAGCAGTGCAAAAGGTTACTGTAAGTCTTTGCAGTTGATGTTTTTATTTTAAAATACACTGCTAGTGCTCTTTTAGAAACAGGAGGGAGAAATAGGAAGGAAAGAAAACAAGCAGTCTGGAAACCTTTCTTTTTTTTTTTTCCTTTTCTGTGACCGGTAAGGGGATCGCAACCCTTGGCTTGGTGTCGCCCGCACCGTGCTCAGCCAGTGAGCGCACCAGCCACCCCTATATAGGATCCGAACCCATGACAGGAGCACCACTGTGCTCCCAGTGCTGCACTCTCCTGAGTGAGCCACGGGGTCGGCTCGGAAACCTTTCTTTATATTCACAAAGCATTTCAGCCTTGCACTAGAACTCTATAAGAAACCAAATTCAGAAACAAAGAAAATAATCCCACCTCAGTCAGTCATTTATTTCTTGGGTTCTCCCTAGAAATAGAATGTCCAAAGTAATGAGGGGAAAAGTAATCAGTCCTCCGAGTTCACCATATTGCCAATCTTGGTCACCATTTGTATGTGTGTGTGTTTTATATATAACCTTAGGAAAATTTGGAAAAGCTGTATTGTTTGCACTTCCTAATTATTAATAAGGGCTATAAAAAAGAGTATTTTTTTCTGTTACCAGGAAAATAGTAAATTATCTACAGATCTATGATTCCTAACATAGAAGGAACTGCCTTTACTTTTCCAAAGTAGTAGCTTTGGAGATTTTTATGAGAATCTAGATTAATATGTGATTAAAAGTTCAGGCCTTAAAGTTAAACAGATTTAGGACCACATTTTGGTGCTGCTACTTACTAGCTCTGTAGCTTTTGACAACTATTTCTTAAATTCTCCAAGTTCAATTTCTAAAAGGTTCTTTTTAAAGCTGTTTGTAACACTGACACCTAAATCTGACTATCGCCATCTACTGGTGGTGGTAAGAATAACATTTTGTTTTGGAAATGTACTTTGACATTGGTTTGTTATAAATTGTGTATTCAGTGCTGTATAGACTACACATGTAAAGTGGTTTCTCACAGTTCTGGCTCACAATTTCTGTCAGTAAGTTAGACTTTAAATGTGTGAATAGTTTGGTGTGGCTGTGTTTAAGCACTGCAGGTAAATGGATGTATGGATAAGTCCTTTACATTCTCACTTGGTATTTCTCACATGTACAGACATAATTAAAATGCTTGATTGTTGAGAATATAAGGAAGTATTTTTAAGTCCTATTAAACTTTTTTTT